TGCAAAAGCTTGAACTGCTGCAGCAACGCAGAGAAAAACTCACCCTTGACAAACTGACCCACCAAGGCTTCTACAGCAGCTTGCTGCACGGGATTGTTCTGCGGAAAGTGGCAGTTAGTGATCTCAAATATCCGCGTAAACTCTGCGTAGCTGTCGCAGCTCGCGGATCTCACGGTTCGCAGTACTTCTCGCAGCGCTTCGTCGTAGGCGCTTTTAACCTGAGTGAACAACGCTTTGTGCAAAGTCGGCTCGGGCTGCTTGAAATTGAAAAGTTGACGCGGCTGTTTCACTTTGCTTTCGATGAACGCTTCGAACTGCAGGTCTTCTGCGGACAGCTCGGCGTTGATTGCAGCGGGCATTGACGCGAGCTCTTCGTACTTTTCGAGTGTGCTTTCGAAAACTGTTGCAAAGCGCTCCGAACCGATGTATGAGCACCGCAGCACTTGTATGTCTTCTCCAGAGATACTCAGCTGCTCTACTTTAGCTTTGAGTGCGTCACAGAACTTGCGCAGCCCGCTGTCAGTCTCCTCGACCTGTTCTCGCGCCCGCAGCTCTTGCAAAAATATGCGCAAATTTTGCAAGCTCGGTTGAGCCGTTGCAGTTTCAAATACAGGAAGCCTCTGTGCGGCGCAGTCACCGCCGCCCCACTCTGCTGTTGCGGCGCTGAGTGCGCCGTTCATCGGTTATGATAATATTGATCAAATTAAACAGATTTTACTAAAATCTCTCGGCTCGATTACTCAGCGGCGTACCTCACCGATTCGAAGTGCTCAGAGGGATACACGACGAGGTGAGCGTTCCCCAGCTTGCTAACGGCTTTGGGCAACAGGCGGCTGTCGATGTCTGCCTCGAAGACTTCGCCACATTCTTTCCAGTGTTCGTCCGCAGCCTTCGTGTAAGAGCGTTCTTCGACGAGTTCGGCGCGGCTCAGCGCCGGGTCGTTGATCTGCAAGCCTTTAGGCAGAATGACGGTTTTGATGATACAGCTGTGCTTGGTCATAATCCTGTTGATGTTGCGGTCCCAATCGTTCCGAGACTGAACCAAAAACATGCCGGGTACCTGCTTCTTCAATCCGAATTTGACCATTCCTCAACTTTAATAATTTGCACGCTAACTATTGTTGCGTTGTGGCAGAGAAAAGTGAGAACACAATTTTGCGGTGCATGCAGAGCGCGGCTTGCTAACACCGCGTCGAGCGAACGCTGAGGTTTGCGAACTACCAGTCGGTGAACGGATCTAGCTCGCCCACGACAGAGGCGGGTTGCGCGAAGTTCTCTTCGAATTCGTCGAAGTTCGAGTGGTCTCGCGGGCTTTTGAGAGTCGGCATATGCGGCGGCTCTAGCTCCTTGCGACAGAGCGCGACGTAGTCTATAGGCGAGAAGAAGCGATGGGAGACAATGTCTTTCGCGCCGTTCGCGAGGTTGCCGTAGCGCTTGCCGAGGTCGTGCATAAGGAGATGTCGCACGAGAGACTTGGCATTCGAATCAAAGTCCTTTGGAAACACGATTTTGCCCTCCAAGATTTTCTGGTAAAGAGTCATGATGTTTTCGCTGTTGAACGGCGTGTAGCCGGTCAACATTTCGTAGAGCAGAATGCCTAGCGTCCACCAGTCAACACCGAAGCCGGAGCCGGTGAAAAGCAACACCTCGGGCGCCAAGTACTCTGGCGTGCCGCAGAGCGTGTAGGTGCGCTCGGAGATTTTTTTTGCACAGCCGAAGTCGGTGAGCTTGACGTAGCCGTTGCAATCGATCAGCATGTTTTCGGGCTTCAAGTCACGGAAGATGATGGATAAGCTGTGCAGGTAGCGCAGCGCTTCGACGACGCATCCTGCGTAGAAGCGCGCGTGTTCAGCACTGAAACGCTTCTTGTTGCGCAGCAGAGTGAAGAAGTCGCCGCCGGCCACGTACTCGAGCACCAAGTACAAATGCTTGTCAGTCTTGAACGTGCCGAGGCATCGAACTGTGAACGGCGAATTCAATAGCTGCAGCACGGCCTTTTCGTTGTTAGCATGCTTGACTTGCTTTTGTTGGATTAGCGACTGCTTCGCCTGCTGCTTGACCGCCACGACGCTATCGTCGCGCTTGTCAACCGCTAAGTAGATGCGCCCAAAGTTGCCACATCCGATCGTGCAGAGGAAGTTGTAGTAGTCGATGTGCGGCTTGCAGTTGCGATCGAGCTCGACGTCTGGTTGGTCAACTTCTTCTGCAATTGGAGAAGCTGAACCGAGCAATTCGCCAGTTCCGGCACTTACTACTAAACATTTTTTGCATACATGATTTGATGTGCTTCCGGATTGCCATTAAGCGGCGGAAGGGATTAACTGCGGCTTATAAATTGTAAAACGCCCTGCAGCTGGCACATTAATCGCATGTTGACAAAAAATTATTAATTACCACCGTTGCCCGGTAAGCCTAACGTAATATATTCTCGTAAAATTTCATGACGAGATCTGCGAATTGCGTCGCCTCCTGCTCTTCCAAAAAGCTAGCAGTGTGGGTCACGATCTCATCGCGATTGGGAACTTTTGCGCTCGTAGGCGGAAAGATTTCGAGCACGTATTCCACGAACTCCTGCTTGCCTTCGGCACCGAGTAATCGCTCTGCCTGCTCGCTCAGCCAGCCAGAGAAGACGAGCGTTTCGTAGCGCTGTACTGCTTCGTCGAACTCGGCGCCAGCCGCCGCCGAAGCGGCGGGAGTCGTGCTGAGCTTCCTGAAGACTCTGATCAAATTTGTGATAAAACTGATCAGATTTTCGAATTTGCGAGTGTCAGCAACGTTCGGAACCGGAAAGCGCCAGCGGCTGAATAGCGCAGTGCTGTAATCATGAAAGGCTTTGAGGCGTGTGTACTGCTTTCCGCTGAGGTCTGCCTTAACGAAAAGCGCGACCGACGACGCGGGCGGAAGCAGCTCTGCGATGCAGGTTTCCGCGGAAGGCTCCGTAAGCGGAGTGTTGACCCAGTCAGTCAGCAATTCGGCGGCCGCAGCGCACTGTGCCTGGTTTTGTTTTAGCTGGGCTTCCAGTTCCGATAGGCGAACCGTTTCTGCTTTGCGGATTTTGGCGGGTATTGCGAACTTGAAGCGGTCTGCAAAAGATTCCTCGGGCACTTCGTAGGAAGCCTGCTCGGCGGGCGAGTGAGTTCGGTTTTCGCTCGTCTTGCTGCGCGGGCGCTCGGCGGAACCTGCGCCGTTGCGAATCGCAGTGCGGGTCTCCAGTTCGTTGACGTAGGCCTTGAGCGAGGCGACGAAGTCGGACTCTGCGTTAATGAACTCCTGCTCGATTTCTTCGTTGCTCCAAGCCTTGTTCTGCTTGTAGAGGTAGTAGCTGCGGTTCTTGTGCCAGCGGTCTATGACTTCCTTGGTTTTAGAAGGACATTTTACGGCAAGCTCTTCGTCGAAGATGTGCAGCCCGTCGTAGAACGTCGCGGCGCGCCAAATTGCTTCGACTGTGGCAAACTCGATAAATGCAAACTTCGAGTACTGCTTGGTAACTGGATTCACGGTGCGGTTTATTTTGTTAACTGGGCCGGCGAACAGCAACAACCGCTTGAACTGCTCATCATTAAGTTGCGCAGGGATGTGGCCTATGTAAATCTCTTCGAGTTTTTCGCTTACGTGGAAACGAGAAGGCTCGCTACTCATCGCAAGCGTCCGCGCAGCTTAAAACAGTAAGTGCGCGCCTCTTAGTCGACAGAAACAGTCACAGAGCAACACCTGCTTTTTAGTTAGTTGGAAAATATGTAATAATGGCTCGGCGACACTAGAGCTCTTGACCGGCAGCTACGAACGGGTCGCTGTGCAGTACGGCGCACGGCTGGTGCGGCGCTCTCAGAAATATGATTTCTATATGAGACTGTTACTCTTTCGACCGCGGCGCGCCCTCGTTGCCAAATTGCAAAGAGCTATTTGATAAAATGTCTATGGAACGACTTCGTCTCACTGAAAGTGGTTTTGGCCCGGAGCAGGCGGAGCGTTGTTGTTTGGCAATCTGTCAGGGATGACATCCGGAGCGCGAGGCACCGCGAGGTCTTTTGGTTTTGCGTCTGGCTTGCGGTACGATGGCTGGTTGTCGAGGTCTGGCTTGCGGTACGATGGCTGGTTGTCGAGGTCTGGCTTGCGGTAAGACGGCTGGTTGTCGAGGTCTGGCTTGCGGTACGACGGCTGGTTGTCAAGGACTGGCTTGCGGTACGACGGCTGGTCGTCAAGATCCGGCCTGCGGTACGACGGCTGGTTGTTGACGTCCGGTTTGCGGTAAGACGGTGTGGTGTTAGTTTTCACCACCGTGTCGCTTTGGACTGCGGAGGTCGTAGTGCCCAGCAATGGCTTACTGAATACGGCGCCTGTGGTAGTTTCGAGCAATTCTATTGCTGGCGTCGTCATAATCGGTAGCGTGTTCACAATTGGAGAAGCCGGCGGTGTTGTGCGGTCGCCGCTTTCATTCTGCACGGCGCCCGTCGTCTGGACGATGTCTTTGATATACGTCCCGTTTGCGTTGTCCCACTGCTTGGAGTGCTGAAGCAGCAGCTTTGTGACCTCGGCTAAGTCTATGTTGTCGTGAATGTAAATCGGTGGCGCGTCGAAGTTTTCGGGGTCGTCTAAGCTAGAGTTTTTTCCGAGTAACTCGAGCAGATACTGCAGCGGATGGTTTGTGAAGTAGGGTCCCGAGTATAGAGCGTTGACAGGAGCAGCGTGCAGAGGTTGGCTGTTTGCGGCGGGGCCGTTAGTGCTTGGCGCAAGCGCGCGCTTGGGGCTGCTGGGCGCTGCTCCAAGCAACTCGTTCGAAGCATTGCTTTCTTGCGCCGGAAAGTACAATCCAATGATAATGACTTGGAACCTTTTCGACGCTCCCGGACCGATTGCAGCATCGAGCTGCGCCGCGGAGGCGCTGTTAAGCGCCGCACCATGGAACGTCACATTCACGTACTTCGAAGGATTTTCTTCAAGAATCTTCTGCAGTGCGACCTCGTCTTCGAGCAGACTGGAGTCGAGCTCAATGCCATGTCCGTCCTCGGTGAGTGCGAATCCCGGCGCGGTGCTGTTGCGCTCTGCGGCTTGACGCATGTGCGGAGCACTGAGAACAGCCGTCGGATCCATCTCAACCGTTGCAAACACGTTGCGCGGGTCGCGGTTCGGCGGGTTGATCGTAGCAAGCATAAAATCAGCTGGGCTCGTGCTTTCCTGTAAACTGCGGCTAATCGCATTGCGGTTTACGTCGTGAGTGCTGACGTAATACTGGTAGCGCGGTGAACTTTCGACCGCGTTTTCAATGAAGCGGATGGCCGTGTCCGCAGCGGCGCCCGGGTAGCCCGGAAGCAGCGAAAACAGACCGTTTACACGCAACGTGTCGTTGAGCAGTTTGTCAAACTCGAACATGCCCAGTCCTTTGTTAGTCGGTTTGTCTCGGAAGTGGAAGTCGTTGTCGTGTTGCTCGTATATTGGCCGGATGTCCTGTGAGTGGTCGTTGCCGATGGGGTAGAAGTTTGAGCTGCGTAGGTACGCATTGCCTACGGAGGACGAGCCGCGGCTGTAGTTAGCGGCGTTGTGCTCTCTGGCGTACTTTGCCGGGTTTTGCAACGCCTGGTAGTTCACGGCGTGGGAGTTTTGAATTTTCAGCGGAATTTGATTGTATCGGTCTGCGAGCACGATCGACTCGCCGACAGAGTTGAGCTGCTGCGTAAACGCAGACGGGTCGGCGAGAGTGGAGCGTAGTGAGGCTGCAAGTAGCGTGAAGCTCGTTAAGGTTCGCATGGAATCTTTGACAACTGAGTGGTGCGTCTTGGGTCACGGCGGTGTGGCCTGGATATCGACATGCACTTGCTCCGTCGCCAAGGGGGTGGCGGTTGCGATCAAGTTTCGTGTTTATTGCTGGCGAAAATTAGTATTTTCCGGTCAGCTGATCGTTGAACGCTGCCGCCATGCAGCCGGTAAACAACAAAGCCAGAGACAATTTAACGCGCATCAATGGTCTGGCGGATGAGAGCTCGTCGTTTGACGAGCATCAACATCTGCAGCCGTTTTTGGTGACGAACAAGCGCGTTTCGTCCGCGCAGCGGAAAATGATCTTCGACGTGTTGAAGCGTACGATCGTTGGTCAGGCGCTAGACGCAGCGAAGATAAACGAGCTGCTGAACGTTCTGGAGTGCTACCAGTTTAGCTCCGGGGACGTGGTCGTGGCGCAGGGCTCGGTTGGCAGCCGCTTCTTCATCATCCAACAGGGCGAGTTCGTCGTGCTGGTAAACGATCAGTGCGCTGCGTACTTGCATGAGGGCCAGGGATTTGGCGAGATCGCGCTGATGTACGGAGTTGCGCGTACGGCGACCGTAAAGTGTTCGGTGGATGGGCTCACGTGGGCGATTGATGGTGCGAAGTACCGTTCGTTGGTCGAAAACCAGTCGAAGCAAACGTTCGAGCGTAATATGAAGTTCATCGACTGCGTCGAGATCTTCAAGTCACTGACGAAACAGCAAAAAGGGTTGATCTGCAACGCGTTCATTCCCGCGCAGTTCCATAAAAAGGACATAATCGTGAAGCAGGGCGAGCCCGGCGACGTGCTTTACGTGATCATATCCGGCGTTGCAGAGGTCTGGGTGGACAACAGGTTGGTGCGGCAGCTGTCGAAGAACGATTATTTCGGAGAGCGCGCGCTGCTGTACAGCGAGCCGCGCAGCGCAACGATCATCGCGTCGACTTCGGTAGAGTGCGTGAGCGTGTCGCGTTCGATGCTGGAGAAAGTCGTTGGCGACTTAGAGTCGCTGCTGTTTGTGAACTCCATTCGGCAGACGATGCGCGGCTGCAACGTGTTTCGCGGATTGACTGACACGCAGATCAACAACATCGCGAAAGCGTGCAAGATTAAAAGCTTGCCGGCTGAGTACGTGTTGATCGGCGACCAGTCGCGCAAGACAAACATCCGTTACGTGATTTTGCTCGAAGGTTACGCACTGGTGACGTTGGACGGCAAGAAGATTCGTCGGCTGTCGCGCGGCGAAGGGTTCGGCGAGGAGTACGTGCTGCGCTCGATGAGCTTGTTCATCCATCGGATCGATACGTTGACGCCGTGCAAGATAGCAATCTTCACTTATGAAAACATTTTCGACATGCTGGACACGACAGACATTTCCACGACGCTGGTGACGAACAAGAAGATGAATGTGATTCTCAAGATGTACATTTTCCGCTACCTGTCTTCGCAGCAGCTGGACCTGCTGCTCGCGAACTTCGAGGAGCGCGTGTACCGCAAAGGCGACATAATCTTCCGCGAAGGCGAGTTCGGCTCGAGTTTCTACATCATCAGTGAGGGCGAGTTGAGCGTCGTGAAGAACGGCACGCGGCTGCGCACGCTGACCAAGAACGACTATTTTGGTGAGCGTGCGCTGCTGTACGAAGAGCCGCGCAGTGCGAGCATCGAGTGCCTTAGCGACAAGGCGGTGCTCTGGGTGGTCACGAAGTCGGTCTTTTTGAGTGTTGTCGAAGGTGCGCTGCTGCAACACTTGGAGGAGCGCATCCAGCTGCAAGACACGTCAGTCACTTTCGAGGACCTCACCTTTTTAGGCGTAATCGGCTCCGGCGCGTTCGGCACTGTGAAGAAAGTGAAGCACAAGCGCACGGGTACGCGCTTCGCGCTGAAGTGCGTGCTGCGTTCTGCGATTATCAAGTACAAGCAGACGAAGAACATTGTGCTTGAGCACCAGATCATGGCCGAGAACGACCACCCGTTTATTCTGAAGCTCGTGAAGACGTTCAAAGACCGAAAATACATTTACTTCCTGCTCGAGCTGTGCACCGGCGGCGACCTGTACGAGACGCTACGCACGCTGGGACTGCTGAACCGCAAGCAGGCGCAATTCTACTTGGCAAGCATCATCGTAGCTATTGAGTACTTGCACGAGCGCTCGGTTGTGTTCCGCGATCTGAAGCCCGAAAACGTGCTGCTGGACTACCAAGGCTACGCAAAGCTGATCGACTTCGGCTGCGCAAAACGCATCGAGTTGCGCACGAACAGCATCATTGGCACGCCTCACTACATTGCGCCAGAGGTTATTACTGGAAAGGGCTACGGCACGAGTTGCGACATTTGGGCGTTCGGCGTAATATTGTTCGAGTTTATGGGCGGACCGCTGCCCTTTGGCGCGGACGTGGAGGACCAGCTGCAGGTATACCGCGAAATTCTGGAAGCGCCGTTGATCTTCCCAGACACGATCACGGACGAGGACGCCAAGAACTTGATCAAGAAGTTTCTGTGTCGTGTGCCAGAAGTACGCATAGGCTGCAATCTCAAGGGCTACGCAGACATCAAAGATCACGCGTTCTTCTCAGACTTTAGCTGGGACAGTTTGCTGAGCCGTGCGCTGGACCCGCCGTTCGTGCCGAAGTCGGAGATCTACGCAGAGTCTGGGCAGCACTTGGATCTGGCACACGAGGACGACGAGGACGCGGCGACAGAACTGGACGCAGGGCAGGAGGCGTGGGATGCCGGGTTTTAAATTTGAAAACGCATAATTGATAATCTGGTAGTATTAGCATTTTAGATCGCAGAAATGCACAACACGTACAATAGGCTGACGTCACTGTTTTCGTTGTAGGTTTCTGCGGCGCGTAGCAGGTTTGCCATTAGCTACTTCGTGTGCACGGCAGTGGCGTATTTCGCGGGCCAGCAGTACGACAAGCGCTTTTCGACCTCGACAGGCCGCGTACGCAGCCTCGCTCTGCGCAAGATTCAGCGGTTTTACGGCGTGCCTTGGGTGGCAGACACGGACCTCGCGCTGGACTTCGCCGTGCAGTCGGATATTCATTGGAACAGCAACATTCTTTACTTGTACCTTGTCGCGCAGTACACGGACAAGGCGGGGTTTAGTCACGAATGCGTGCTGTGGGACAAAGTGTTCCGGTCCAACGAGCGGTTGGAGGTGCATTACGCAGGAAAGTCGAAGTATCGACTGGAGGCATTAGACCGCAGCCTGGAGAACACGACGGTGACGGCGGACTTGCGCTACATGACGCTACCGAAGGGCGGGCTCTTTAACGAAGGGTCTGGATTTTTCGGCGCTATTAAAATCAAATCTAAAGCAGAGCCGCACCGCAAGACGTAGTTTTGCAGAAAATGGGAGACGACGCGGCCCTAGAGCGGCTCTCTTGGCTGGACGCCGTGCGGCGTACGCAGCTGGCTGCCAACATTTCGGCGCTGTTCCCGCGAAACTACAACTTCGAGGTGCCGAAGACACTGCGACGGCTCAGCGAGACGCGCTCGCGCAGCGTGTGTCTGCAGTTCCCAGAGGGTCTGATGGCGTGGGCGGAGTCGCTGGCGGCGCTGTTCGAGGAGTATGGCGACGGCGTTGAGAACGTGTATGTCATCGGCGACGTCACTTACGGTGCGTGCTGCGTCGACGACTTGAAGGCGCAGTTCTTACGCTGCGACTTTCTAGTGCACTACGCACACTCCTGTCTTGTGCCGGTGAGCAACTGTACCGTCAAGTGCCTCTACATCTTTGTAGAAATTGCGCTGAGTTCCGAGCGCTTCGTAAAAGTCGCGAGCCGATTTTTGAACAACGCGTTGGAGTTGGCGGAGGATGCCGAGGCGCACGCTCCGAAGAAGGTTGCGCTGCTTGCGACTATCCAGTTCTCCTCGGTGATTTTGAAGGCTAGCGCGGCGCTGGCCGAGTGCTGTCCGCATGCGGCTGTCTCGATCCCGCAATGCTACCCGCTGACGCCGGGCGAGACGCTCGGCTGCACTAGCCCTGTGATCGACGCGGACGTCGCGATATTCGTGGCCGACGGCCGGTTTCACATCGAAAGCGCGATGATGATGAACCCGGCAGTGCGCTTCTACCGCTACGACCCGATGCAGCAGGTGCTCTTTCGCGAGACGTTCAACTACGAGCTGTTTCACGAGACGCGACGGGCGGTGCTCGCGCGATTTCCGAAAAACCGCAAGATAGGCGTTGTGCTGTCAACTCTGGGTCGGCAGGGTTCGTTACGCTTGGCGCAACGGGTGTTGCAGAAGAGCAAAGAGGCGCAACGAGAGAGCGTGTGCCTGCTGCTTTCGGAGATCAAACCGCAAACGATCCGCCGCTTGGGCCCGCTGGCGTTCGTGAACGTCGGTTGCCCGCGACTGGCGCTCGACTGGGGCGCTGAGTTTTTTAGCCAGCCGTTTGTGAGTACTTTCGAGTTTTACAAAGCGCTCGCGGATGTGCCGAGCGGCACAGACGCGAGCGAGACGAGCTACAAAATGGACTATTTCGCGCAGAACAGCGGACCGTGGACGAATTACTTCGCAGACAACGCGGGTGGTTCAATTACGGAGTTGCGACTCGCAGCGCTCGCGAAAATCAAAGCGCGGCTGGCACTGACCGCTCGGAACGGTGCGTAGCAACGACATAACAAGTTTCTACTTATATATAAATTATTTGCTCTGCCTCACTATGAAGAACGAATCTGGCGTACACGTCGACTTGTACATTCCCAGGCGTTGGTAAGTGCTCGCGGCGCACCTGCGCGTTTGAAGAAGGCAATTTTTAGCTCTGTCTCTAACAAGATTATTCACGCGAAAGAGCACGGTTCTACGCAAATCGGCATCGCACAGGTGGATGCACAAGGTGTGGCCACGTCCGATGTGCTTTCCTTCGTGATTGCGTCGAAAATTCGGCGCGCCGGCGACAGCGACGCCGCGTTGATGAAGCTGTGTCAGGAAAACGGACTTATGCCTACGTATAACTAGATTTATAGTGCGCAAGCGCTGGCTGCGGGCTAATCGTGCTTCTTTTTCGGCTTGTACTTGCCGAGCACCATGGCGTGGCTGCGGTGGTACGGCTCGAGTGAGATCTGCTCGCGCGTCTTGAGCTTCTCTTTTTTCAGCGCGTCGATTTCAGAAGCGAAAACCGCTTCAGGCGAGCTGACTGAGTCGACGCAGCTGGCCTTGATGCTGATCAAGAACTCCCCCTCGTTCTTCAGAAAGTGGTGCGCGTTAAGCGCGACTATGCGCGCCTGGTCCGGCTGCGCTACGTCGCTGAAGATAACGTCGACCATCGGCACAAGCATGCGGTACTTGTGCGGCATACGCGCGTCCTCGATGATTGGCACAATGTTGTGTCGCTTCTTTGCGAGCTCTGTGAGGTCGCGGCCAGAGCGCGGGCTAAACTCGACGGCGTAGACGGCGCCGCTTTCGCCGACGATATCCGAGACGTGCGAAACCGTGGTGCCGTTGGCGGCGCCGAGGTACAGAACCTTGCTGCCAGGCTTGATTGGGATCGCGGAGACACCCGCGACGATCGCGGCACCGAGCTTGCTGCGGAACACGTTCCACGCGCGGTACTCGGTTTTCTCGCCCAACTCATTAACTGTTTCGATCTTCTTCTCGCCGTAGACCACGTCTCCTGGAATGAAATTCTTCGTCACCAGTGCGTCGGCCTTCCCTTTTGCAATGAACACGCCTTCGAAAACGCGATTGCCAGCTTCGAAGGGTACTACGATAACTTTAGCGCCGGCTCCGAGGCCGGGTTTTCCGCCTCTGCCTGCGCCGCCTCGAGCGCCCCCGCGAGCTCCGCCGCGCGGCGCGCCGCGAGCTCCACCTCGAGCACCGCCGCGAGCTCCGCCGCGAGCACCGCCGCGAGCAGGCCTTCCGTCACGCGCGGGTCGGTCGGAAAACGATCTGTCGCGGTAGTCTCCGCCGTCTCGTTTATCTGAGCGGCGCACACCAGCGCCGTAGCCTCCTCGGCCCGCCTGATCAAATCTGCCTCGACCGCCTCGGTTGTCGAAACGCCCTCCCCGAGAAGCTGCGTGTTACTGAGTGCTACTTACGAGGATCGCCGTAGCTCATATTGGAGAGAAAGAAATATTAATAGGAAGCTTTAAGCATTAAATCAAAATTAGCGGGCTGTTTGTTTCGTGACATAAATGTTGCTCTAGTCATTTTCGTTTCTCTGTAAATCCTCTCGCCATTTTGCGCGTTCCAGAACATGTCAAAACCACCCACGCCTATGCTGGCGCTGTACGGACGAGAATCTCCCCACGCGACTGGTGGTTGCCGGTGGCGACAGGCTGCGCTGGAGTGCGGCGGCGTGTCACGCAGAAAACCCTTCGTACGCTTGCACTCGGCGTGCAGAGGGGAGCTTTCACTGCAGAGGCGTGTCCGCTGTGCACGTTGCGAAGACGCCGTTGCGCGATCTCGCCGGTGGAAGAAGCACGCGGGGCTGCGCCAGATTTCGCGTGCTTTCGCTGCCTTCGCGACAAGTGGCTGCAGCTGATTAGAGCGCAGTTCCCAGAGCTGCGCCGCGACATTCGGTTCGAAAACGACCCAGGCGCAAGAACGAGTCCGAGCACGATGTACAACACGTCTCCCAACGATAATGCTGCGAATGTTGTCAAGCAAACAGCAAACGCACCCTGCGACGCATTTGACTCTGGTTGCCGAAACGAGGACATGCTTCGCGCTCGGGAGCAGCCAGCGGCGCTCAACGCAACGCACAGTGAAAGCGACTTTGACACGCGCTTTAACCTTGGTTCTGCCGGTCCTGTTAGCGGTTTTAGCAAGTTGGAAGAAGTAAATACAGAAACAATCAGGCGGAAAGCGCGTCAGTGCGTGCTGTTGCAGCCTACGGACGCGACAGAGCGGATCGACTGCACTCCGTTCGTGCAAGAGGTGGATCCGTTCCTGTCTGCGCGAACGCAGCGCAATGTGAGTCGCACGCTTTGCGTAGAGGTTTGCATCTGTCTACAGAGCACACCGCACAACAGCGCAACGACGTTGCCACGCTCTAAGTTTTTTGAGGAAGACGACTTTTCTGTTCACAAGCACTGGACAAGCGTGTCGCAGCTTAGCGTGGCACATCGCGCAGAACATACAGCGGCACTCGCAGAAAGCGAAGATCTGCCAAGTCACAGCGCGCATAGCGCCGGAAGCAGTGAAGCTCGTTTCGCGTTGCTTGGCTTGAGCGGCGCGTCTGGCGAAAAAAGCTCAGCGTTTGCCTTCAGTGACGAGCACAGCGACGACTATCGCTTGGCGAACGCGCTTCGCAGCGAAGTGAATAGCGGAGAGATCGCAGCGCGCGACTCGAGCCACGACTCTTTCGACTACAGTTTCTGGCTGATGAAACAAAGCGAATTGCTTGAGAAGTGCGGCGCGCTTGGCGAAGGCAGCGGCGAGTTCGCTGAGGGACGTGCGGAGCGCAGTGCAAGCAGCAGCGAGATCGAGTCCTACTCGAGTTTATTCGCGTCGGAGGCATCGGAGCTGCAGAGTCTGAAAGCGTTAGCGCTGCTTGTAGAGAGCGATCTCGCTTTCGCCAAGCAGCACAGCGTAAGAGGCTAGACGCTGCGCTGTGGGGCGGTGCAGAGCGAACCGTCTTCAGTGTGCAGCACGCTGTTGAGCTCCGCGTGTCGCGACTGGTGCAACTGGAAGAAGAAGTCGTCGAAGCAGTGGCGCACGCCGCGGATTCTTGAATAAAACTGTTCGAGCGCGTCGGCGTCGCTCGTCGCTTGCGGCGCGTCGTTGCGTCCGCACGAAGGCAAGCAGGCGGAAAGGCACAAACCTTTGGACAGAAAAACGAAGCCGGTGTGCGCGACTCGCCCAACGGTCAGCGGCGCTGCAATCGCGACGTCTACGAGCGGCACGCCAAAGTACAGCAGCGCGGCGACAAGCGCGTTAAAGAGACACGCGTAGAGCGCGCTGGTGCGTGTCAGAACCAGTGCGACCACAGTGAGCTGCTTCATGGCTAGCGCGCGGTTGTCGACAACGCGGCTGAGCAGAGCGGTGAAGTAGCCTGCGAGAAAGTCGAGTTCGTTTCGCGACTGCGTCACGTTGAGCGCCTCGGGCGTTTCGTACATGAGGCTGAGTTTGAGCGAAGCGCCGTCGACTTTCACGTCGTTGTCGGCGGGCGTGTGCAGCCGGTGCAAGTTGACGATGACTTCGGAAGAGTGGTAGGCGCACTTGAGCCCCGGTCCGAGAACTTTCAGCGAAAAGTTGGTCATGGGCAGTGGCGGCTAGGACGCAGCGCGCTGCGC